TCCTCGAAACGAATGCTGTAACCAACTTCTTCGCCCAGCTCAACGTCCATCTCTTGCGCAACACGTTGCGCTACACTCATGGCAGCCACACGACGCGGTTGTGTACATGCCACCATCTTCCCCTGCATCTGAGGAAGATCGTCGTACAGGACGAACTGAGGGATCTGCGTCGTCTTACCAGAACCCGTCTCTCCAACGAAAACCAGGATCTGGCTCTTATGGAAGAGATCAAGAAATTCTTGCCTCTGAGAGTGCACAGGAAGATCGCGACGCTTCTTCAGGATGCTGAAATACTGATTGCTTAACTCATTCCCGTTGAATGGATTTGTAGGTCCATCTTCAGCCTTCTTAGCGTCTTCAGCTGTGGTTTGATGCCGCTTCAAATGCTGCAACCCTCCAGCACCATTTGATCCATTTGCAGCATGCTTGTAGCTATGACTAGCGCCAAAGCCATTTATGTACTCATTGCTGCCGACACCCACACCATCTGAGCTGCTGTCATCGTTCTGGTACATGTGCGCCAGATACGGATTCTTTGAGTCCGCTGCGGTAGCCCCGTCGCTCATCTTTTGTCTCTTGTATCGGTTGGCAGGACCGTCATCCATGGTGCCACAAAAGGCCTGATGTGCGATCTAAGTTATTAATAAGGATGGATTCCAAAATGCGGTGAGTAGAACAGCGGATTCGTTGGCATTAACATGTCAAGCAAACCAATTGCTATCTACTTGTCTCTGGCTTTGGAAATTTTGTACGCATGATTCATGACTCGCGCTGCGGGAAGATCCGCTGATAACGATTGCCGTAGACCCTATCTAGGATTCTGATCAGCCTCTGAGCCTTGAAATTTCGGCTTGAATCAGTGTTTATTGTATACGCGAGAAAGACTTGCACTGACCCAGAAGCTTTCGTACTGGCTATACTACTTTGCTGTGCAGCTTCTGACGTTCCAGAGCTTGTAGGATCATTGACTCGCTACTTGATCAAGCACAGCAGAATCAGTTCCAACGGAAACACGCACCATAATGTCCGACGGCGGCAACGGCGCCATGCCTGACGAGAGGGCACCAATGTGGTATATTGGACAACATGATTCAACAAGGAATGATGCTGATACAAATTCTGTATCACATCAGGCTCACAACGCTGGATATGATTTGCTAACAATCCCAATCACCACTGCCCACTTTCACGATCGGATAATCAATCTGGTTGAACAATATGAAAATGGCACGGATAGCGCCGATCGACAAGTCTTACCTTTAGTGTCACCTCTAATGCCAGTCGATACTACGCTTGACCCTCAAGACACAAGCTCTGCTCTCATTGCAACGACCGCGTCTTGGATCGATCTTGGAAGTAAAGACGCTTTGGTCGCCCATGTCAGTAGACATGTCTTCAATTTAGAAGTCCAGTACGCCGCTTTCTGTGGTGTGAGTAACATCTTGATCAAAGGCCCTATTGAGGGCTCAGATATCGTTCAGTATTCAAGGGCGATCCTCGAAGCCCTTGCCATGGGTGCGTACTTGCAATTGCATATTGAGGTTCCCATGTCAGGTGAGCTTGAGGACACTGGCGAGAGTGAATACACTCATCTTGCTGAGTTTTCTACAACTCCAGTCAGTGATGCGCATGTCGAAGAAGATGCAGGAGGAGATGACGAGTATATTTCTTGGGACAAGTGGGACGTTGTTAGAACTTTAAGCAATTATCACCCACGTCTCTCAGTAGGTATGAACAAACACTTCCTTTCCTCATCCATATCCAATCCCTTTCCCTCACTGATCTTCGCTTCGAAACCCATTTCACATTTAATATTCTGCCAGTTCGTTTGAATGGTGGCAAGACGAGGTGGCCTCAATGTCATAGTCCTCTGATGAGGCCTAAATACTGATCGTTATCTGCAGCTCTGGAGCTCCCACGTCAAGTCCCATCCCTCAGCGTCCAATCTCGTTGGTTCTCAGAGCCTCTTCGCATCTTGACCTTTCCTAGGACTTCATTTTTGCGCAACGCAAAAGGCTATCCAGTTCTCTCCAAAGCTCATCAGAATCTGTTAACCCGCTACATGCGTTTACGTTATGCACCATGGCTTCTTCTGAGTAATGTCGACGATCTGTCCGCTGCGACAGATGGTGGAATTGATACGTACAGCGGCCTATCATCAGGCAGCACACAATCAGCATCGGCGTCAGCATCACCGTCACCTGAACCCACCCCAGCCGAAGCTGTGTCCAAAGCCAGGAATAGCCAGAAGGCAAAAGATCCATTTCCCCATCTACGATATCTGCGCCACCTTCAATCGGCCCAACCTTCTAGACCAGCACTTGAAAGATTCGGCCAAGGCTATCAAGATTACTTGCAATCGCCCCTGCAACCATTGACAGACAATCTTGAGAGCATTACGTATGAGGTGTTTGAAAAAGATCCCATCAAATATGAATGGTACGAAAGAGCTGTTGCCCTAGCTTTACAAGACTTAAAACCTGTGATTGGCAACCGTGAGGCGATTATCGCTGTTGTTGGTTCCGGACGAGGCCCACTCGTGGCGCGCAGTCTTTTAGCCAGCAAGCAAGCTGGTGTGCCAGTCAAGGTATGGGCGGTTGAGAAGAATCTCAACGCTCATGTGCTCTTGCAACGTCGAGCTATGAGAGACAACCTGTGGCGTGGTAACGTCACTGTCGTTAAAACGGACATGCGTGCATGGAATGGGCCTGTTGTTGAGGGAGCCGTGCGCAAAGTCGATATCATGGTTTCAGAGCTTCTCGGGAGTTTTGCAGATAACGAGCTAAGTCCGGAATGTCTGGATGGCGTCCAGCACGTACTGCACCCAGATCACGGCATCAACATCCCGCAGTCTTACACTGCGCATGCAACTCCCATTGCAACCCCAAAGATATATGGCGACTTGTTTGGTAGGCCAGGAGGACTTGCAGCTGATAAATGGGAGATCCCATATGTTGTAATGCTGCAACAGCTTGACTTTCTCTCACTCGACTCGAACATTAGCAATGCAGAAGTCCAACTACCTAACGTTCAAGAAGCCTGGGCATTCAGCCATCCTATTCCTAACACTATTCTTTCTCAAGCAAAGGCCCGTGCGGGTGGAAGTCTTGAGCGAGGTGGAGCTGGCGGCGCGGTTGGTGGCGATGGCCACAACGAGCATAACTCGAGAAGCTGTACCATGCAGTTTAAATGTACCCGTCGGGGAATGTGCCATGGACTCGCTGGGTACTTCGAGAGTATCCTGTATGCCAGCAGGAACAGCGCGAAGAGAGTTGAGCTTTCGACAAATCCAGTTACTATGGCGGACAAGAGCAAGGACATGATTAGTTGGTTCCCTATCTTTTTCCCTATCAAGGTTGGTCAGATTTCCAGCTTGTTCCCATACACCCACCTAGCTAACATGGTCAGGTGCCAATTCTCGTACCCGATAACGCGGATATAGAAGTCAAGATGTGGCGTCAGACCGACGACCGGAAGGTTTGGTATGAATGGATCATAGAGGCTTCAGAAACGACAAAAGGCCGGAAGAGAAGACTGGGAATGAGTGAGCTGCACTCCAGCAGGAAGAACGGATGTATTATGTGATAGCATGGCTTGCTTGTCCGAAGAGTGTTTGGCGTCATAGAAGATAGAACCATGCAACTCTGCGTCCGATCTCGCCAACTCTCTCGCACTATCACTCTACAAGGACTTCTGAGCAGTGAAGCAGAATATTTCCATCCTGAGAAATGCACCTTTCCCTATTTCGCGTTTAATCTGCTCTGCAATCTCATCAACCCTCCTCTCATCCTCAAACCCCTCAATCTCCACCCCTCGTTCCAGTGCGCCTTTAATGACAGTCGGCCATGAACCTAGCATGGTTCCGGTAAAGAAGGACCTTGTCTCTTCCTGAAGGTCGGTCGGAAAGAGCTCTGAACGTACATCCTGCAACCCAGCATTGGCCAGCCTCTCGGGTATGCGCAGCGCCTGTGCAGTATCGAGAGAATTTCTTCCCATTGCCTTGAAAGCATCCACACTAGCCTTTATGCCTTCACAAGGGGCAAGGGCTTTCGTCTGCAAGATCCGCGTTTCCATCGGGTCCCAGTCCACCCATTGCACCCACCCCCCGGGGTCTATGGAAATACCGTTAGCTCACAGATCTATAATATAAGAGATCAGCTGGAAGATTCAACGTACTCAGCAACGAAGCAACATTCCTCGCAGCAAATTCCCACTGCTCCCCCTTCATGGTGACATGCACATACCTCACCGCCACCACATCGAACTTCCCCAGAAACTCATCTGGAAATCCATCCGAGGCGGCAGTGTCCTGAACATGGAACCGCACCCGGCCCCTGAGATCCGCCTCTAGGCTCTCATCATCAGGGAAGCCGGCACTGGAGATATCGAAGCCATCGCATTGGCTTTGCGGGAATGCGCGGGCTGCGTCGCGAAGCCAGGCGCCTGAGCCGCAGCTTAGATCTGCAATACGGAGGGATTTAGAAGTTGTTGGGATGGAGGGATGAACGAGGAACCCTAGAGCGAGGACTGTGTTATGATGCTGTTCGTCTAATCTACTAAATTCAGCATTTTGGAGGTGTTGATGTCGTGCATTCAAAATTATGTACCTTGCTGACTCTTGTTTAGTGCGAGCGAGTATGTACCCGTCAGTGTTACCATCCGGAGTCTTCATTGTATGGATATATCAAGAAACAATAATAAACCTACTATATCAATCGTCCATAGGCGAGGTACTTCGACATTGTCAAACACTCCTTAGAGGCCATTTCCTCTTCTTATATGACCTACAGGATCAACATCCTATCAGCGCTAAGGTAGTCCTTCTCCTCATCATTACAAAGGGTGATGCTCTCAGCTTTGTAAACATTCTCCTGCGTAGCAAGCAACCAAACAAAACGCGGCCATGCTTGGCGTTTATTGCCCGACAACTTGCCAATTCGATATCACAGACATCGTTAATAAAGTCAATGGTAGGGGGGGACGAGAAGCAAAAAAGCTGATGACAAGAGTGGGATTCGAACCCACGAGGTTTCCCACTGCGGTAATATCTTTCGATTGTTCACGGTTACGTGTAACCTAAACACAGCGCCTTAACCACTCGGCCATCTTGCCTGAGATACGATACTCATCGTTTCCTTCGACTTGCGAATGTGCAAGCGGAATATTTCCGAAGTCTCACATCTTGAAATTATAATGTCCAGATATTACAGATGTTCTACCCACCATAGATCTCAAATTCTTAGTGCTCTGCGGCAATCACAAAGGTGGGGAGCGGAGGCGTCGTAGGGATTTGGTCACTCTACACAGCTATGGTTTAACATGTGTAGCAGAAGAGGTTCAGTAGAGCATTTGTCTGACTGCATAGACTGCTACACGTGTTTTGGAAAGTCGCCAAGGATGCTCTCCCGACGGCGGTTCGGACATGAACACTTGCGACCTCCATATCCATACTTCATAGCTTACTCCCAAGCATAGTCTCTTGCTGGATGCCCTACTCTAGCTCTAGGGCCTTTGCCGTCCATTAAGAAGTTCTCCCTCATTGTCTGGCCCCGTTTGTTGTCCAGCAAGACTCCTCGCCTCCTCAATTCTGGCCAGAGGTACTCGATCATGTCCTCGAAAGTCCCTGGAGTGGTCGCATAGCTGATATTGAAGCCGTCCACACCAGCCTCGCTAATCCACATCTCCATGATATCGGCTACAGTTGTCGGACTTCCCACAGCTCTCGGATGCGCGCCAGAGATCGCGAGCTCCTGTAACACGCGACGCTTTGTCCATCTGACATCCTTCGTCCCTGGCACGGTGGCCGTCCATGCGGAAATCATGCTCTGGATAGCTGGCAGTTTGGTGGTGCTAAAAGAGAAATCCTCGTCGTCGGACCACTGCGACAGATCCGTGCCTGACCAGCCTCCGAACAGCGCAGCCGTGCCCTCGAGGTCTGCGTATTGCAGCAAATCTTCGAACTTCTCCTGAGCCTGCTCATCCGTCTCGGCGACGCACACGTAGATGCCTGCGATGAACTTCAGGCTGTCCTGTGGACGGTTGAGCTGTTTGAGCAGCTCGCGGGTGTCATCTACTATCGCGCGGGTTTTAGCTGGAATCATGCCTGGTAGGAACATGGCCTCTGCGTGGCGGGCCGCGAACAATTTGCCTGCTTTTGAGGCACCAGCTTGCAGGAGGAAGGGCGTTCGTTGGGGTGAGGGATGTATAATAGATGGGCCGTTGCAGGTGAAGTATTTGCTATGTGAAGGGTACGGTCAGCATATTCACGATCAGGAACGGAGAGCCCATCGTAAGTCGTGGGAAGAGGGGCACACGTGTCTCGCTATGAGCGACGAAAGCGCTATATAAGGAAATACAACTTACCCGTTGTGGTCTGCACTCCTGACAGCCCTTGGATTCGCCCAGACACCCAACCTCTTGTCTGCATACACTGCATCGTCGCGCCAGGTACCCTCTAGCAACTTGTACACGACCTCCATAAACTCCTCCGCGCGCCTATATCGCTCATCGTGTTCCACGACCTTCCCTCCAGGCAGCCCGTATGCTCTCGCGGCGCTGTCGAGGTAGCTGGTCACGATGTTCCAGCCCACACGGCCATTGGTGAGATGGTCGAGGGTAGCGAATCTTCGGGCCAGAGAGTAAGGATGCTCGTAGGACGTCGAGGCCGTGATGCCGAAGGAGATGTTCTTGGTTGCATATGCAAGGGCCGAGACTAGCAGGCTGACGTCTAAGATTGGGACTTGAGCGCCAGACCGGAGTGACGGCCCTGGGTTGCTCCTGGGTTGCTCGTGGTCTTGTTGGCCATTGCTGCTATTGCTTATGCCGTTAGCGTTGGCACCATTGGCGCTGTGCCCATTGCTGTCGCCGTTAGGACTACCAATAGGTATCGAAGTAGTTTCACTGCTCCTATATACATCGTAGATGCCTAGGACGTCGGCAAAGAAAATTCCATGGAAGCTGTTGTCGTCCAAGAGTTTCGCCACTCGCACCCAATGGTCGAGGGTCTGGGGCTCTTGTGACGGATGCCGCCAGAGGCCTGTTGCAACAGAACAACCAGGTTAGCAAGTGTTCATCCACAATGCTCAAGCTCTCCAGGGCTGGGCACAGCTCCTGGAGCTGGACATCACGTTGCACAGAGATGCAGGAGATTACCTGGGGACCTTCAATTACCGGGAGCTAGATGCCCTGGAGCTGTCATGGCAAATGCATTCATGATCCATGGCCGCTGTAGCCCTGATGGCTGCTGTTGTTGATTATTACCGCTCGAACCCATATCGCTTTCTGATGTCTTTCTTGACAAGATTCCGACTATAAATTGTCAAATGCTTACTATATTTCTAGATCTATCCTACCTCGACGGTTGAGATTGGCCACCACAGAGCACGACGTGGATTCAGAACAGAGCTGTCCCCATCTACCCTGCCAATCTTTTCGGTCTCACCTTATCAACGAGAATATTGATCGGCAACTGGAATTTGCGGATAGACACACTTCGAAGCAATTGCGTGCTCGACCATTTGCTGCGGGGGCGTGAGCTTAGGGTTGTACCTGCATATTCCGTGATGCGACAAACTTCAATACTATCGACCAACCAAGACCGTTGAGTGATTGGTCTACTGGATGAGATTCTTCCAATCGTAAATACACATAAACACCTTTCGATATAGAAATAGGCAGAATTCGACAGTCGTCCTAGAAAAAACAGACGAGCGCCACTCATCAATGGTCTCTCAATGTCAGTACTGGCCTCGCTCAGGACTCGAGCACGACATACCTATCTAATATGAGGCACCTCTTCTCTTCGACGATGCGGCCGTTTCCCCTACTTTCCAATACGAAAGGAAGCCGATGCACCCGCCTCTCAAGCCATCACTTCCATCTACCGGCCTGCCACGTGCTGAACACGCGGTCGTCCACATATACCTTCAAACCTTGACTGGAGCTTAGTCCACTGTCAGAGGGAACTAGGACATGCATGAGATAGATAGGCCGCATCCGCCCAGTACTCCCCATAGGCAAACTGGCTGTATGGCGTGCTTGGAGGGCGAAAATGAGTGACGATCTTTTACCAGATCCACATCGCCGCCCTACCCTTACCATTGGGGAGGAAGTAATTCAGGCTCTTCCATGCATGGAATGATGGGCAGCGGGATATAACTTTCAGACGCACCTCAGCCGTTTGTTTCAGGTTGCTGCACTGATCTCTTGTTTTGTCTTTGTATATCCGTGCAGCGGCTGAATCTGTCTGTGTTGGAGGTGCTACTGATATTCCAGACACGAGATTCTATTGAGACGAGACAGCATGACTGAAAAGGAGACTCCTACACAGGATGTCGTCGAGCATCCTAGTGCAAACAAGCAACAAGTGCGCAGGCGTAAGTCTTCCCCGTCACTGCCCTTACCATCAGCTCCCGGTTTGAGGGAGGACCATCAACAGCGTATTACAAGTACTTACCTGCAGTAGACGTGACCTGGTACCGATCGACCTTCTTCAACGCTCTCATTCTCGGCATCTGCAACTTTCTCGCCCCTGGCATCTGGGGAGCGATGAACTCGCTCGGTGGTGGTGGAGAAGAGGATCCCTGGCTGGTCAACACCGCCAATGCGTTGACCTTCTGCCTCATGGTCCTGACCTGCGCCTTGTCGGGCCTCTTCGTCAAGTACATTGGCATTCGCTGGACACTGATCCTCGGCGCCTCAGGCTACTGCCTCTTCGCTGCTGGTCTTTACTGCAACAACCGTTACGGTACCAGCTGGTTTGTCCTCTTCGGAGCGGCATGCTGTGGGTTGAGTGCAGGTATTTTCTGGATGGCTGAGGCGGCAATAGCATTGGCATACCCGGAGCCTCACAACCAGGGCCGCTTCCTCGGCTTCTGGCTCAGCTTCCGTGTCATGGGCCAGATCCTCGGCGGCGCCATCAATCTAGGCATGAATGTGACGAGAAACAAGGCTGGTGCGGTTTCGTACTCTGTGTACGAGGTCTTCATTGCCCTGCAAGCCGTTGGACCTTTCGCAGGCCTCTTGCTGTCGAGCCCATCCAAAGTCCAGCGAACAGACGGCGTAGAGGTGTCCTGCGAGATCCCCAAGTCGCAGAGCATCGCGAACGAGCTGGTTGCAACCTGGAAGGTCTTCACCAGCAAGCGATTCCTGCTCGTTATCCCTCTCATAGCCCAGGCCGTCTTTGCAGAGGCCGTCTTCTTCACATTCGAGGGCTTGTGGATGACCGTCCGAGCACGTGCGCTAGGCTCTTTTCTCTCCGGTATCGTAGCGCTCATCGGTGGAAACATCCTCGGTGCCATCCTCGACAACACGAAGTGGTCGCTCAAGGCTCGCACTCGCTGGGCTTTCGGTATCATCCTCACCCTGCAGGGCGCATGGTGGATCTGGGGCACGATTATAGTGACCGAGTTCAGGAGGGATCAGCCTGTCTATGACTGGGTCGATCCTGGCTTTGGCCGTGCCTTTGCATGGTTCTTGTTCCAGGTCCTCGGGTTCCAGTTGAACTACATGTACCTGTAAGTACTGCATACCTAACTGTGCGAATTTCTGTCCTGTCTCTGGAACCCGGTTATCTAACATTCCTCAACTTTAGATACTTTGTCATCGGCAATCTCGCAAACACTGACGAAGAGGTCATCCGCTATGCTGGCCTCCTGCGAGGAACTGAGTCGGCGGTACAAGCCGTATCGGTATGTTTGCCTCACACAGCTTCAATCCCATCACGGCAAGTGCACAATTGCTGACCCCACATCCTTCTCACAGTACGGTCTTTCGAGCATCAGCGTCATGGGTCAAGTCGGCTGCGTCTACATCAATTTTGGACTTTGGGCGATCGCCCTTGCCCCTGCCTGGCTAGTAATTCGCGAGTTCGGCGAAGGCAACCATGACAAGAAGCTCGAGAGGGAGGAGAGGAGAAAGTTGCGACTTGCTGAATCTCCGGACAGTGGAAGCCTGGACGGTCAAGCTAGGTCGACTGGTTTCAGCAAAGGGGAAGCTGGCGATGCCTGATCTTGCAACTAAATCTTACTCTGTTTCGCTGTGAGGTACCTGAACTAGAATTCATTGGCATGGAGAAGCCCTTTATCTTTGGAGTGCGACGCCTCTGACCATGC